TTGTGGACTATGGTGAAACTGATGTGTTTGAACATGTGTAAAAGAAACAAGGATATAATAGAAAAGGGTTTCCGGTGTGTTTATGCTTTTAAATTGTATTATTGTAACTAATTCTGCTACTACAACTTTTGATATTAAAAACTCCACAGTTTAATAAAGTAAATTATATTACTTTTTTTGTATTTTGAAACAATATGTAGGGCCCTATCATACACCCAGCGCAGTGTGGTGAAAGGCACGACGCAAATGTTGTTTGCAAGTTTCAGCTTCGCGCAAGAGTCGTTTTGACATTTTGCGCCACGCTGTTTAAATAGCAAATGCATAGATAGAGAAACTGTAATAGATTTTTCAATAGACCAGAACAAAGCCGGTCTAAAGTCTAAATGGGATATAATTAGGATATATATAGGATTATATAAAAGATTAAAATATTACAAAACATATTATTTTCTAGCCTACATAAATATAAAAACCGTATACTTTCATGCCTTCTTCGTCTTGTTTATTCGTGACAATTTGCTTTTGTATAATGTTATTTTTAGCAGTACTAATTATTATATCCATATTTATATTTGCTTTATTAAAACAAGCTTAGATTTGTCCACCTGTCAGGTTTTAGACCATATGGGGCACAGCATGTGTATTTGGATGTAACTTTGTTATTATTGTTCATTTATTCATTTTGGTGGAAATTAGAACTGAATTTAGAAATAGTTTTAAAACAAGTATTTGCGCTTAACAAGCTAAATTAATTATTTATAGGCTAATTGATGTTTGTGCCTACAAGGTGTCCCTATCCACGAGAGCGAAAGTGAAAGTAGATAGTGAGTGGACTTATCTCTCATTCTCGCGCTGCAGATGGTCTGTTTAACTGTTATCTTGCTAGTGAAACGCTCAGTTTTTTCACTTATGAAGTCGTCATGTAAATAGCAAATGCGCTATGGTGCAACACAACTGGCTCTTAAAGGGAATGGGAGATGAGACTGATTGGTTTATTCTCAAAACACACCCATAACTCATTAAGAACATAAGCTCAACCCTTTTAGACCATGCGCTGCAGCGCAAAGCGGATTTTTTCTGTCCTTATATTGGCAAAAGTGGATTCTGACACACCCTGAATGTGTTTGTGCCCTGCGCTTTGCAATTTTTGCCTGGATCTTCAAAATAGAGCCCATAGTATGAGAAATCAAATCCGTTTAAACAGTGCAGGTCACTTTATTAAATTTTTCTGTATCAGTAGTCCTATAATATACTTTAATTAATTAATTAATTAATTAATTAATTGATTGATTGATTGATTGATAAATGAATGAATGAATGAATGAATGAATGAATGAATGAATGAATGAATGAATGAATGAATTAATTAATTAATTAATTAATTAATTAATGGTTGATTTATTCGTTTGGTTGGTCAATTGATTGGTTGGTTGTTTGGTTGGCTGGTCGGTTGATTGATTGATTGGATTGTTGGTTGTATTGTCGGTTGGTTGATTGATATATTTGTTTGATTGGTTGGTTGATTCGTTTGGTTAATTGGTTGGTCGGTTGGTTGGTCGGTTGATTGATTGATTGATTCATTCATTTTTGACGGAACTGTCCCTTTAAATACCCATCTGTGAGTTGTTGACTTGAATTTCATCTATAACTTTGTCAATTAATTTCCCATAACAATCATAACAACAAAGATATCTCAATTATTGCTTTTTAAGTCATTTCTACAGTAGGCCGATGGGATCTTCAACAATAAATCCATGGCATTCAGCTTTACGCGGATGGCACGATGTGTTAATGAATGTTCTTCTCCTTTGCTTCTCCAGATTAAAGCAGAAGTACGACATCCTGTTCCACATCCCTGTTTATTAGTCAATCAAACACAGAAGCGATCAAGCGTCAACAGAATAGAACTAAATAACTCTGATAAATGGTGAGCAGGGGAGCAATTGAATCTCATTCAAACATATCAATCATATTTCTATCTTGCATCCGATCATAATGCAGGAGAAAATTGTGGTTTCTACATGACAGAGTCTCAATGTTAACAAGAGACAGGTTTCCCTTGAATTTCAATGGTGTCTCTGATGTTCTGATGTTTATCTCTTTGCAGGTTGCTCTAGATGTCTGCACAGTGCCAGTGGGGAAGAGGATGCTTTTTTCTTTTTTTCTTCTTCTTTTTCCTCCAGCCCTAGCAACATGCTGGGGATTGGAGGATATGACAGTTCGCCGAGCCTGCGATTGGCTGTTATTGTGGAGCATTTTGAGCAGAGAAATTCATCTCGTGCTCTACTGGGTGTGGGTTGCTGTAGGAGGCTGCAGCAGAATGCTGAAAAAACTGGTAATTCACCCTGCAATTTTGTTTTACCTGCATTAAATGACAGAAATCTAACAGAAATGCAATGATTTCTGTGTGGCCTTCAAGTGTTATGTTTTATTGGAGATCCCAGTTTAGCAGCAGTGAGGTAATTATTCAAATAATTAGTCATGCTGATAATGAAGTCAAACGGAAGGCATGAAGGTTTGTCATGTGACCAGAAAAAAATTGTAGTCAGCTATTTCTTTGCAAAATAGCAAATCGTATTAATGCATGCAGATCTTACCAAATCAATTGTTTTGCTTATTTTGTTCTCAAGGCATATTTATATGTCAAGCATATTATTATATTGTGGAGTTGTGAGCTCTGCAATGCAGCACTGAGCACTAATCATGAATATAGGTGCAATGCAGGAAAAGAAATCTGGTGTTAGATTCAGCTGTGGATTCACTATAGTGAAACTGCTGGTATTGTGTGCTTCTAAACACACACACACACACACACACACACACACACACACACACACACACACACACACACACACACACACACACACACACACACACACACACACACACACACACACGTTAAAAAAACCTAAACAAAATGCAAGACTATTGACCTTATTCTTCAAGTGTGCTCATTTAGTTGCTTATGGGAGAAATGTCTAGGAATAATAAACTGCAAAAAATGGTTGCTCAACAAACAAGTGTTTGCATGATTATACAGACAAAGCTGAATCGTATAATAAGAAAAATGTCCGTTTGCAACATCAAGCAGCAGAACAAGCTGTTTTTAATATCTAAAAATGAATGGAAGTGAATGAGACCGGAAGTCTCGAGCCAAAAAGATTCAAATGGCTGCGCCCGCTCATACCAGAAGAACAAGGTGAACAGCATTCATTTACCTTCCTGCTGTTGAAAACTTCAGGTTCAATCATGATTTTTCTTACTTCAAATCTGAGCGAATTCTGTCCCTCCATTGAGCATTTTTTTCTTTGGTGCATTAAAAACTCCAAACAAATCAAGCAAGAATCCAAATCTTAAGAAAGGCGATCAATAACATTTATTTTTGACTATTATTTGGCATTCGAATATGGTTACAGAAGCTCAAACATGCTTGTTTGATCTGCAAGAACCAATGGTGTTCATTCTTGCATGTCAAGCATTTATGTTCGACAGACATAAGCCTACATTATTGTCAAAAAACTATTTATATGGAATATATTGATGTTCTAGGGTTTAGTTTTTTCAATGGAAAGGCAGAATTCTATCAGATTTTTTTTATGATTCTTGTTCCTTGGGATGACATGAGGGTGGATAAATGATGAAGGTCTGAGATGAGTAAACCCTTTAAAGAGATAGTTGAAATTAAAAATCTGTTACTCACCATTTCCAAAACTGTTGGTTTCTTTGTTTTGTTTAACACTAAACATACTTTGAAGAAAGCTGGAAACCTGTAACATGGACTTCCATAGCATTTGTTTTCTTACAATGGATTGAAATAGTTGCAAGTTTTCAAGTTTCTTGAAAATATTTTTGTGCTTAATAAAACAAAGAAAGCAACAGTTTTGGAAAAACTGAAGGGTGAGTAACAGATTTTTCATTTCAGAAGGAACCCAGTAGGCACACAACATCATAAGTTGCTAATATTAGGTTCGATTTAGATCATGGCGTCAGGTGACCAAAATTCAGTGTCAAGCCAACATCTAAGGACAACGTTATTTTGTTGTTTGATAAAGATGTCAAGTTACGTTGGTATTTAGTTGATTTTAGGTTGTGTTTGATAGTGACCAAATGTCTGATCCAATGTCTGTTAGATGTCATTGTGCTAACGTCCACACAACGTCAGGGTGTAACATGATTAGACGTTGATATGGTTTGATTTTAAGTTGACTTTAGGTTGTGCATTGACATCGGCCTGACGTTGGGTTCTGATGTCAACCCAATTTTCATTTCCAAACAAAACCCAACATCTCCACGACATTGGGGTACGTTTGGGTACAACATCAATATGATCTCATGTTACTGTCCTGTGCCTGCAGGGAAGAAACTCATAATCACTTGAGAGTTAGTAAATGTGTACAAATATTCAGATAAACTATGTCTTAAAGATTGGTTGGCAAGGCATAATGATTGCAACAAATATCAATAATTGATTAAATATTGCAAATATTGAGCTAACTATAGTGTAACTCTTAATTTGAAGTAATTATGACATCGAGTATTCGATAAAAGAACAATACACACCACCAGCATTGACATAATGCATCTATGACTACTTGGGTTCTTTTTTTTCTGTCTTTTTATTGTTATAATTATTTTGGCTCTTGTGCAACTGCTACATAGTTATTCACATTCAAGATACTGTCACTCAGGATACAGCTAAAAGTAAAAAAAAGGAAGTAAAAGGAAAAAAAAAAGGCAAATAAATGAATTTAAAAATACTGCCAAAGACAATTTTATGGTCCATGTTCTGAAACACTGATTCGGTAACGTCACTGTTGTTTAAACCACACGTTCAATGTGCATAATAGGACAAAAAGAACACTCGTATATGGTTCAGAGAGCAAAACGTCGCTTAACAAATGTCATCATGGTTACAATTTACCAAGAAAAACACCGGTACATTTAAGTGATCAGTAGTGTTTTCCAAAAGTCAGCCTAGCTAAAGAAAAAACATTCCATGTCACAACGCCCATAACAGATCGATTTATTGTTAACAATCACAATTTTGGAATAGCAAATCAAAACGAAATCTTGATCAATTATAAATAAACAATATGAAGCCAGTTTACTTTTCAATTATAGGAATACATAACATCCAAGATATAAGTTAATAAAGTCAAGCTATTGTATAAATACATCACCAGCATGCACAATATTGAATCGATAGTATTGTTGTAATTATCTTACACTGACAAAACAGTATACTTGGCAAGTGCAAAAATAAATTAAACACAGAAGTAAACCACAAACTTTGAAGCTGCAATATTTTTTCCTATTTTCTTTTCGTTATTTTTTTTTTTTTAAATAACCAGGTCATTCTCTGCCTTTCCCCCAACCGGTCCTTCAAAATAACTGAATGGTTCCGATAGTATCAAGCTGTGAAGATTGTGATGAACTTGAAATTCATTTAGGTGCATTCAACCAATACAAATTCTTCCATTTAATATCCAAATAAATCGAGCTAATACTATGGAACCATTAAAACCATTTTTACCCATAGAACGCCACCTAAACGCTTCTTTTGAATTGCTTTTCAACTCAAAACGTAAATAAGCAGCATCCCTTTAAGAAATACATCAGTCCATATGCCAGTGTGAGGCTGCCATTCCCAACCAACAACAACAAGGACCGCTTCCGGCTGATTGACTGACATTTCAGTGGTTTTGGCAAATGTCAAAGAGAACCAAGAAGAGGGAGGCCCATTCAACTATATATATATTTCTGTATATATTCAAACTAGGACTTCAGCCCCCCCTTTTTACCACCCTTGATATTTTTTTCTTTTAACTCGTGGAAAAATAAAGAACTGCTGCTGCAGAGGAAACCATGGCAAAAGCTGCTGCCAAAGTCCACCAGCCGTTTTGTATGTTTCTAGATAGAGAGGTCATCTGGCGCTTAATTGTTGCCCTCTCCGCCTTCGTCGTCTTGCTGGTCACTCGTCCACAGTGTTAAGTTGTCTCGGAGGAGCTGCATGATGAGGGTTGAGTCTTTGTAGGAGTCCTCGTTGAGGGTGTCCAGCTCTGCGATGGCGTCGTCGAAGGCCGTCTTGGCCAGATGGCAGGCCTGCTCCGGAGCGTTCTGGATCTCGTAGTAGAAGACAGAGTAATTGAGGGCCAACCCAAGCCGGATGGGGTGAGTGGGCTGCATGTGCTCCTTGCTGATCTCGTGAGCCTCGTTGTAGGACTTCTCGGAGGACTCAACCACGGTGGATCGCTTCTCGCCCGTAGCCACCTCAGCCAGGTAGCGGTAATAATCTCCCTTCATCTTCAGGTAGAAGACCTTGCTCTCGTGCTGGGTCTCACTGCAGTTCTTGATCAGGAAGTTATCCAACAGGTTGAGGACGTCCTGGCACACGGCCTCCAGCTCCTTCTCGATCTTTTCCCGGTAGGCCCTCACCATCTCGATCTTCTTCTCGTTGCCGTCTGCCGAGGTCTTCTGCTCGATGCTGGAGATCACCCTCCAGGACGAGCGGCGAGCGCCTACGACGTTCTTGTACGCCACTGACAAGAGGTTCCTCTCCTCGTTGGACAGGGCCTCATTGAGCTCGGTTACCTGCGAAGGAAGAAGACAGAACGCTGGTTGAGGGAAGACACACACAACAGGAATCAACCAACAGTATCTGAGGTTTTCGCTAAAATTACTAAGTACAAGCACGAAAGCGAAAGACTGAAGAAGTGTACTAACACTGTGTCACGCTACCTGATAGATAAAAAGACAGAAGAGTCATTGGTTAGAGACAAGATTAATTAAACATCACATTTAACAACTATAATGAGACGCGATCCAGCGGTACATCCTTGATAAACTGTCTGACATGCACTGCTCTCCGGGGTTTTGTGCTCAAAGCATCCACTGACCGTTGGAGCTCAGACGCGCACATACGCTGCAGCGCATGACAGAGTGTGTATGTGTGTGGTCACGTTATGTGCGTTTTCAGCAGACGGAGGGCTGTTCAGAAATGCCAGTTGAAACGCCATGGGTGACGTGGATCATTTTCGTTCTAAAATGCCATTTTAAAACAAAGACATATTAATGTAAACTGGGCTATGTGTATTTTTCGCGAGCGGGTTGCTGTTGCATCTGTGGCGGGGCGGAGGATCGCGACCCAACCCTACCCCCAGGACATTATTTTGTTTCTCAAAACATGTGGCATTATTTGTTTTAATTCTTGGTTTTTCTGTGAAAACACAGCAACAATTTTGGTTTGTTTTTATGGCAAAAAATCCTGGAGGGACTAAGTTTTTCATGGGTTATTAGTAGGCAATCTTTTCATCAGCTAATATTTGACACTTTTAAGTGTGTTCATTCTTGTAGATCAGTTCTCTTGGTACAATTGGTCAATTGGTATATTATACTTTTCAATAGCTATCATGCTTCCATTTTTTAAAAGTCAAAACCTATAAAAAAAAAAACCAAAAGTGGCTTTTATGATGTATATTTTGTCAAATAACTTTCTAAACATCCAAAGTCTGTGGAAAAAAAAAAGCCTTTAAAATGTGTAAATGAGTCTTAAAAGCTTCGGGAATTCCTCCATCACACAAACCATGATCTGCTCAAAGGAGAATTGTTTCAGAAACCTATAATGAACAAAATGATAAACATGATTAAAACAACAAGCATGCATGGTTGTCTTGAGCATTTTATTCATGTCATTTTTATTTGGTTTGTTTGGATGTCTTTGGTCAGTGTTGCATTATCTTCCCTATTTCTAGCCATTCTTTATAGTTGGTTGGTGCAAACTGGTTGATAAATGTGCAGACTGATTGATAAAACTGATTGATAAATTACAACAGCTCAAATGTGACTTAAAAGACTTTAAATCCTTTATTTCAAACTATGAATTGTTATATCCAATTGGCTGCTTCATCATACAGTATTTACTGTATACTTCATCAGAATAAAACATTCTTAGACCACACCAGAAACAGTGGAAGAACACCGTAACCAGCAGTGTATTTCCAGTTTATCCATTTTTTCAAATGTCTGTATTATGAGCAGTAGTAATGCACAATATATTGGCTGTGATATCTATATGTATTGGCCAATAAGGCAATATATTATGGAATCATAAATAATTGATAATTTCCACTGGTTAATCCACTTCAGTTGCGTGCTGCTGGACATGAAGGTTTTGAGGGTATGCATGGAGGAAGAAAAATGTGAAAGGTTTTTCATCAAAGTTGGAGTTTGTTAAAGAATTTTTAGTTGTATAATCTGGCTGAGAAAAAATAATAGCAGGATTTTCATTATTGCCCTGCATATGGGGCACTGGCTTTCAAATTGAGACTTTTCAAATGTATGATGTTATTTAACAATAAATCTGTCACTGTGCTAACTAAGATAACAGCATCAACCATTAGAAGATCTGTGTCAGTCAACCACTACATTTACAGCAATTTTAACAATAAAATGAACAAACAACACTCGAGTTTGTAGTTGCATAATGATAATATCCACACAGAGCTTCATCAGCTGGCTGAACGCACTCTGCAGCCATGAGCTCCAGCTATATGCCAAGCGCAGTTTCCATGGCAATCGTCTCATTTTGTACAGTAGTCCAATGCTATCTAGCAAGATGACGGAGCGCTAGCGCTACACAATACACTAGAGGTGAAATCACTTCAGCCGAGTGTGGGGGCAGGGTGAGCATAGGGTGCAGGGGCGGGAGGCGAAATGTTCCCACATACCCCCTAGGGCAGCTGCAGTGTAAGTTAACACGATCGCTGAGCGGCAGTTCATGTGTTACAGTGGCCTACTCCCTGACCTTTTCCCTTGCCAAACTGGGACGACCACAGTACATACGTAAAACGAGTTTGATTGCACATTTCAGATCTCTGATCTATTCACGTCATCAGAATCTCACTGTAATTTGTTTTCTATCAACTATAACTAAACAAGACTCAGATCAAGGTTTCCGATTTTAGATCTGTGCTACAAAAGCTAAATTTGTTCCCTCAGAATACAAAGAGAGCGGATTTCAGAGACACCTTAGATCAATATATCAGAGTAGAAAACAGGAACACTGGCAGAACAGGAAGACAGGGCTCATAAAAAAAAAAAAAACAGGAAGGAGGATACGAAAGGGTTTTATTTAAAAATGAAAGAAACCTATTGCTATTTGCGTCTGGGTTTGTTGGCTTCACACAGCAATGACTTGACAGATAGCTGTGGTGGGTGACAGGTAACCTCGTTAGCCCTGTTGCAATCGGATGCAAATATTTACACATAAGGAAGCCCTTCACAAATCTAAAGTAAAAAGCCGGATGATCTTCCCCCAGTGTGAATTAGGCATGGCCTATTGCTGCTTGTCTCTCTAGCTGAACACATCGAGATAATGGAGGCCTGTGGGCACTTTCCCATCAGGTCCGTGGCTAAATGGGCTTTTATCTATGGGACTGAAGTAACTTTAGAGTCAAACTGCTTTTAAATCTCCCCCACAGATCCATGAAGCTAAAACTGCATGTCCGGCATGCTAAAACAATCCTCGAAAGGATGACCTATCCTTTTAACGGCCATGTGGGATTTGGACCAAGGTAATATGGCGAGTAAGGTAATACAACCATTTTAGCAGAATTGATCTGGCAGAGATGTCTGTTTTCCAATCAATACACTATTGCACATTTTGCTTTTCAATTAAGACTTATTTTATGCAAATCACAGCTAATGAATTATAACACATCTGGTCTGAATTACATACAGACAGATTTTGCATTGTAGTCTAGTTGCATGGATTGTTTTCAATGTGCGGACTATTTTTTTAATGTCCATGCTTAATGACCTTATATTTATTCTGGCATTTATAAGACTTAAAGATGAAAAACTGTGTTTTTTATGACATGTTTGGCAACAGAGCTTACCAAACATAACATAAACATGTGCAGTCCTATCAGTTTTAAGTCTAAAATTGTATTTTTATTAGATGAGAACTCATTAAAGAACTTATAAATATGTACAGGAGTATAAATCTAAAACAAAAATAAAGATCGGGCATTTCTGACATCTACGACAATTAAAAAAAACAGGTTTGTTTAATCATGCTTGATTTATTATTTTTTATTTTTTTGGCTGCATCTAAGGAACTTTAAGTGTTTGGTTTAGTTCATGTTAGTCCATGTCATGTTCATATTTCAGTTAAAGCCACACAAAATTTGCTTTAGAAGCAGACTGAGATGCAACTTTTCTGTGATCTCAGGTGTCCATTAAGGTTTTTATAGCAGCGTTCACCCCTAAAATGGAATAATTCACCCAAAAATGAACCTTTATTTACTATTTGTTCACCACCAAGTGGTTCCAAACCTTCTGTCAAACACAAAAGAAGATAATTTGAAGAAAGCTGTAAACCTAAATTCTATGGAAGGCAATGGTAAGAGGTTTCTATCTATCTATCTATCTATCTATCTATCTATCTATCTATCTATCTATCTATCTATCTATCTGTCTGTCTGTCTGTCTGTCTGTCTGTCTGTCTGTCTGTCTGTCTGTCTGTCTGTCTGTCTGTCTGTCTGTCTGTCTGTCTGTCTGTCTGTCTGTCTGTCTGTCTGTCTATATGCATATACAGTAGTTGAAGGCAGAACTATTAGCCCCCCTGTTTATTTTTTCCCCAATTTCTGTTTAACGGAGAAAATATTTTTTTTCAGCACATTTCTAAACATAGTAGTTTTAATAACTCATTTCTAATCACTGATTAATTTTATATTTGCCATGATAACAGTAAATAACTTGATGTGACTAGATGACTAGATAATTAAATGACTAGATCATTTTCAAGACACTTCTATAAAGCTTAACGTGACATTTAAAGGCTTAACTAGGTTAATAAGGTTCACAAGGCAGATCAGCGTAATCAGGCAAGATATTGTATAACAATGTTTTTTCTGTAGACCATTGAAAAAATATATAGCTTAAAGGGGCTAATAATTTTGACCTTAAAATTGTTCATAAAAAATTAAGAACTGCTTTTATTCTAGCTTAAATAATACAAATAAGTCTTTCTCTTGATAAAAAAAAACATTATCAGACATACTGTGAACATTTCCTTGCTCTGTTAAACATCATTTGAAAATATTTTTCTAATAATTCTGACTTCAACTGTTTATTTGGCGGTTCATTCCGTTGTAGCGACCCCTGATAAATAAGGGAAAATGATTGAATATATATATATATATATATATATATATATATATATATATATATATATATATTTATTTATTTATATATATATATATATATATTATTCATTAGATCTTCTTTTATGTTTAACAGAAGAAAGAAACTCATAAAGACAAGAGTGAGTAAATGATGACAGAATTTCTTTTTTGGGTGAACTTTGCCTTTAATCAAATGAACCTCACTAACAAGAGTAATCGCAATACCATTTGTTTTAAGTGAGCCAAATCTGCCAGGTGTGAACACACCCTAAATAAAGACTACTGATGTAGGCACATTGTAATTAAATCAGAAGCGTATTGCCATGGCAAACAACCATTCAATCACTCAAGAAACAAGAGATGCTAGATGACACCCATGCAGAAAAAAAGCATGATGTCAACACTTGACATAGCAGAAACGGAGGGGTCCTCCTTAATTTCCATAAGCCTGTGTGAGACTACAGTCTCCTAAATGCCCTCAGTTAGATGGGAATAATGTGGGGATGCTGACGGTGAAGAAGCTAAAGAGCTTAAGATGCAGATGTTTTCTCCCCCACATAGAGAAGCCATAAGGCCTCAAATGAATTCATTATGGTGTCCTAAGCAAATAATGTTAAAATATTTAACAGAAGTGACATGAATAATCAATACAGAAGAGATAAATTTGCTTTAATAACAAAGAAATCAATGACTTTCGAGAACGAGAAGGGATATCCAATCTGAATCATGGACCTTGCTGCAATATGACAAGGATGGAAGATTCTGGAAGGAATGCTGCTGCCTCTAACGTTGGTTTAGAGGAAATATCTTAATAACTCCCATATGTGGAATATGGGATGGCATGGCTAAATTATGAGGATGCGTGAGAAAAGCAAAGGTTAAGGCAGCTTAGATAGGCTGATTACAGAAAATTAATAACGCATTTATGACAATACACATACTAGCAGCCACAACAAAAGTCTGTCTATATAGTGTACAATTAATTAACATCCCGTTTTCTTAGCATGATATGCAGGATGATACGGATAGCAACACTTTTGACAAAAATAAAAAAGGAAAAAAAAAATTTTTTATTTCGTTGTTTGTTTTAATAATGGTGAAAGCTGTTGAAACAGACCTTTATGCATTTGTCATGTGTCGCCTCATTCATTTGAGTGTGGGCTCGGGTAAGACAGGAGGCACCGCCCAAGATCCAGACAGTCTACACCCGATCCACTGCACTCTCATTAATAAAGCACTGATTAATCATAGATCAACACCCCAAAAATTATTACACCACAGTATTGTGTAGCCTAGCGATATTTTACCCTAACATCATATGACCAGTCACCATCACCGTTTTTCTTTCAAATGTATTGAGCTGACAGTTTGCATGATACGACAATTATATCACAATTTAGCCTTTTATTCGTGTTATATTCCAGATAGATAGATAGATAGATAGATAGATAGATAGATAGATAGATAGATAGATAGATAGATAGATAGATAGTTTGTTTGGTTGATTTAGTAACCGCTGGTCAAACGGGACCATCAAACAAATAAAACCCCAAGGGTAATTGAAAGAATGACTTACCGATTTCATGGCTGCTGCCATATCATCATATCTCTCTGCCTGCTCTGCCAGCCTGGCTTTTTGAACCAGCTGCTCGCGGTCAACCATGTTGGATTGTTATGGTTTGGGCGATATTATTTGTATTTTGAGGAGGAATAGTAATATTGTATGAGCTATGCGGTGTAATTCAATGAACGAGAGCTTCTCTGCAGCTGTTCCTCGCTGTCTGTGCTCGTGCCGACGGGCCACCCTCGCCCCTCCTCACCCGCTGGAGCGCTACGTCAGGGTTCTATAAACGTGGGTACTGTGGCAAGCCGCCACGGTCTGTAAGACTTAAGTCCGTGTCAAATTAAAATTTGCAATGCTTAATTTGCTAGCGCACATTGTTATTCTTTGGGTAAACAATTAATCTGTGCAAGTTAATCCACTGACGTTAAATGTTTGTTTTGGTAATCTTCAATCAAAATCTGAACATTTCATTTTGGGTTTCCCTCACTGTTGATGTCAGTTTGACAGCTTCAACCACAGAACTTTACATGGTGGTGCACATAACGTTTTTGTCTTGTTCTCAATGAGTATACATGGACACTAATACTCTGATTTTAAGATGATTGTATGTAATAAAATTTAAAAAGCGATTTTTGATTACCAATTCTACTAAAATCATAATCAAACTAAACAAGTTCAATTAAGAAGTTGACGACAAACAAATGAGAATTGCTTCAAGCAAGAGAGCACATTTTGGTGCGAGCAGAAAATGTTGACTAGACCTATTGAGAATTCTCCCACCAGTCATTACTGCGTACTTTCATCCAATCAATACCGCAGAGTTTGTCACAGTGGCATGAATGAAAAGTTAGTGAATGAAATGACAGAGGTGGCCTATTGCCTGAGAATTTCTATCCCCTGTTGTCCGTTTTCATGTACAGTGTGAGAAATGAACTGCATTTGAACTTGTCATAGAATTAAAAATTAAATGCCGAAAATCACATATGGTGCAGCAGAGGAATTGTCAGTGCAAAGTGCACCTGGGCCCGAAACTGAAGACAAGGTATGGCTTTTAATTGACTTACTGTTCATTAAATGCAAACGATCGTAGTTTATTAAAGACGCAAACCCCTCGCTGTATGACAGCTGCACCTTCAACAAACCTCCTAATACCTGCAGCTTAAGGACTTTTATGAATATTTATAGGCGTCAAAAGTGGCTGATCTGTTCGCCGAAATATTTGACTGCGTGTCACTGCATATCAAACTACTAAAATGATATAACTAAAGAAATCCCCAGTGTGCTGAGCGAGAGTGCTTCTCTTCTGTTAAACTGAACAGCGCATCATCGATGATGTAAGCCTGCTCCGGCTCGGATACAATTTAAGTACAGGCCGTCTGGGGAGAGGGGAGGGGGGACAAGCGTGCTTTGGCATGGTTCAAGGCAACTGTACATAGTGTGAGTACGCTCTCATGTAAAAACATTAATAATATTATTGTCGTATTCAGATTAAGTCAAATAATTAGATTACTCATGTCCATGTAAACGTAGTCAATGTTGTGTGGTCGGTTCTCACACTGTTCACAACACCCATTCTACATGTAGTCATATAAACGCACATTTTTGCAGTATTTCGAAACCTATGTTGCATATGTACCCATACTTTTCTATCTTTAAAATATAACCATGAACTTGTATTTTAAATATGTGATTTGCATATATCAGGATCTGATTTAGTGTGGTTCTCAATGGTGTGTGTGCATGAAAGAAACACCGGCTGTCACCTTTTGAAATAATATGGTAACCGTGCAACTACAATTCTGACAGCAATGCCATTCATACACACAGAGACCTATTTTATTTTAAAGTCACAAGCATGGCAAAGTTGCATGAGCCTATGCGCTATCCATTTGTTAAATGGTGACACATGGAATACTGCTACTCATTTGAACTGAAAAAAAAAATTGTTTATGACTACTTTTTAGTATGGACTGAGGGAACAAGACTGGGTAACGCTTTCTTTTACAACCCGCAAAGTACCGCGTAAGTACAGTGAAATTACAGTGTACTTTTCTGTACGTACTGTGTAAGTATAATGAACGTATGTGTAGGTATAAGGGAACAAACCGTAATGTTTGGGTAATAAGGGGGTAACAACCAGATGTTCATCACGAAAATTACCGCGTAAGTATAGTGAAATAACGGTGTACTTTTCTGTACGTATAGTGTAAGTATAAATAACGCTTACTTAGGTATAAGGGAACAAACTGTAATGCTTGGAATAAGGGGGTAACAACCAGATATTCAGCATGAAAAGTACCGCGTAAGTACTGTGTAATAACGTTGTATTTTTCTTTAAATTGCAAAAGAACAAACCGTAATGTATGCGTAATAGGGGAGTAAAAATAAGATATTCATCAAGCAAAGATCCGCGTAAGTATATTACGTTTACGATGTACTTTTCTTCAAGTATTGTATACATACGAAAAATTATGCAAGGATGGTGACAACCTATTGCTATCTGCAAATGTACTGTACATGCACCTGCGTGAGTACATTAGTACTCTTATTCAGTGCTTGGGTTTTATACGGGGTGTTTAATGAATAAAAGGTTTACAACCTGTGAAATTATGAACCCTTATTGTATACTGTATGAATTTTTAATCTGCAATTCAATATAAAATATATTTCCATACACTACTTACCTTATGTTTACTCGTCGATCTCAACAAAGCCATCAATGTCTCCATAACTCACTATCAACAAATAACTTTGCATGATATAGGCCTACCGTCAGGGTTCAATGTAGATTAAAACAGGATCGCATCTTTACTGCTGTTTGCACAGCGGGGCTAACTGTTGCATTTCAGTAAATGTATAACTGATGCTTTATAGAAAAATGTAGTAATTTGGTCTTCAATCAATAAAAACTGCTGATGTAGTTTACTCTGTTCTTAGTGTTCAAGTATACACTAGTGTGTTAAAAGTTCAGCTTCTTCCCTCTTTGTTCCCTGTAGTTAAAGGGTGAATACAGTATTTGTTCCCTCCTTGTTCCCTGTTCTTACGGGGTAAATACCACATTTGAGGGTTGTAAATTAAAGTGAAGCATTGTTCCTCCCTTGTTACCTGTACTTACAGGGTAAATACCACATTTGAGGGTTGTAAATTAAAGTGAAGCACTGTTCCTCCCTTGTTACCTGTACTTACAGGGTAAATACCACATTTGAGGGTTGTAAATTAAAGTGAAGCATTGTTCCTCCCTTGTTACCCCCTTGTTCCCTGTACTTACAGGGTAAATACCACATTTGAGGGTTGTAAATTAAAGTGAAGCTTTGTTCCTCTCTTGTTACCTGTAGTTAAAGGGTAAATACAACATTTGTTCCCCCCTTGTTCCCTTTAGTTTACAATGTAAAATTTTGAAGGCAGTAAAATAAATATACAAACACACAATATATTTCTTCTTTACTTAGTAACCTTTATTTTAATAAATAAGCATTTTAAAACACTTCATCTTAATCAAACATTGTCCTATCATTGCCTATACTCATTCATTTTCTCTTCGGCTTTGTCCTTTTGTTAATCTGGGGTCGCCACAGTGGAATGAACCACCAACTTATCCAGCATATGTTTTACGCAGTGGATGCTCTTCCAGCTGCAACCCATCTCTGGGAAACATCCATACACACCCATTCACACGCATACACTACAGACAATTTAGTCTACCCAATTCACCTGTACCGCATGTCTTTGGACTGTGAGGGAAACCGGAGCACCCGGAGGAAACCCACGCGAACGCAGGGAGAACTCCACGCAGAAACGCCAACTGACCCAGCCGAGGCTCGAACCAACAACCTTCTTGCTGTGAGGAAACAGCACTACCTACTGTGCCACTGTGTTGCCACCCAGCTGCAACCCATCACTGGGAAACATCCATACACACTCATTTACACACATACACTACGGACAATTTTAGCTTACCCAATGTCACCACATATTTTTGGACTTGTGGGAGCACCCGGATGAAACCCACGCTAACATGGGGAGAACATGCAAACTCCACACAGAAATGCCAACTGACCCAGCCGAGGCTCGAACCAGCGACCTTCTTGCTGTGAGGCGATTGTGCTACCCACTGCACCTGCCTATACTCAGACAGCAAAATAACACAATATTTCATTCCCCCTTTTTTCTGGCATCTCTTGCTTGGCTTCCTCTTCTGCTCTTCTCAGCTTCCACTGAGGACTCTGATGGTGAGTGGCTGATGAAATCCCATGGGTCTTGCTGCTCTGCATTTATATAAAATATATGAACAGACATAAAGGCTTTTAGTAAGCTGTAGACATGTTTATTTTGCTGTTTTATGTGTGTGTGGTGGTTGTCCAACAATTTCACATACTAAATATTTACAGATACCATACAGACACTATATATTACTATCAAACAAAAGTACTATGATCAGATCATGTGGGAGATTGTGATCATTTATAGTGATAATTATTCAAGCGCAGAGGGGAAAAGGTTATGTGCAGGCATTACAGACTTTGAAGTAAAGATTATTTGCAGTTTAGTGTACAAATTTAAATTCTGTGTTACTCATTAAATGGTAAGTAAATGTAACGTTTGGATGAACTACCCCTAAGGTTAGTTTTTGATTAAGTACATGTCTTAAACCATCATTAGTCCTAAATAAAGTGAAAGATAACATAATATGGTTGATGTACTGTTATGGACCCTTTTTACATTTCAGCACAGTGAATGGGAAAGTACAACACATTTTTTTTTACAATCTTCTTTGCTCAAATAAAATGAAAACTTTATGATGGTGTTGTCTCGACAATTAGAAAAAGAAAAAATTTGCGTGAAACTGATAACGCCAGCAAGAATAGAGAATAACATATAATGTACTCATGTCCATAGACACTGTTTGAAACACTTCGCACATGTAATCATATTATATAATACATACGTAAATACAAACAAATGTTATTTTATTAAAAATATCATTTAAAAACTCAAGGATTTTAGATGCTGATGATCGTAAAACGCGTCATAACAGTATTGTGGAAAGGGAATTGTTAAAAATAGGTACAAACATCAGATAGAAACAAAAACCTAAACAAACAGTTCTATATAACGTTACATAACGTCATAAAAATACTTGTTTTATGTACCTCACGCTGCCCTCCTTGTACTGCCGTGAACAGGAAATTCTGGGAATGGAGGACGGAGAGTTGAATCGATTCGTCTTCAACAAACCGATCAGTGTGACATCAAAACATCGCG